TGATTGAGGTTTATAAGATTATGCATGGGAAAGAGCAGGTAGAGAAAGAGGTACTTTTCTCCCTCTCTCACAATACAAGAACTCGTGGGCACTCCATGAAATTGCTGAGTGGTCGGGTTAGAACGGATAAGAGGAAGTACTTCTTCACCCAAAGAGTGATGAACACATGGAATTCACTGCCACAGGAAGTGGGGGTGGCGGCTACAAGCATGGACTTCAAAAGGGAATTAGATAAGCATATGGAGCAGAGGTCCATCAGTGGCTATTAGCCACAAGGTATAGATAGGGGCTCTGGGGCAAGTGATGCTCTGTCTTCTTGGTGCTTGGGGGGGGGGGGGCAACAGTGGGAGGGCTTCTGGTGTCCTGGCCCCACTGGTGGACCTCCTGATGGCACCTGGTATTTCTGGCCACTGTGTGACACAGAGTGCTGGACTGGATGGGCCTTTGGCCTGATCCAACATTGGCATCTCTTATGTTCTTAAGCCACAGTTCTGAAAAGAGCTGTCCTTGGAAAAGAGCTCTCCCAGCCCCACCCCACCTCACGGGGTGTCTGTTGTAGGGAGGGGAAGGAGAAGGAGTTTGTAAGCTGCTCTGAGACTCCGAATGAAGGGTGGGGTATAACGCCAATCTCTTCTCCGCTTCTTCCCCTGTTCATCCAGGCAGCCCCTGCGCTCTGACCTGGAGAGGCATTATGCTCCTTGACCCCCCCACACAAGTACTTGGACGGAGCTGTTGCCAGACACATCCATCCTGCGGAGGAGGTATCTGCAATTTCTGAGCCCTTACCAGTGGCATTGTCCTGGGCTCCAGTGTATGTTGAGAGTAGCTTCTACTCTGATATGCGGGGGAACCGCCTGGTCCCCCCCCCCCTTTACAGAGGGGCTTTTGCTCCTGCAGTGGCTGCTAAGGTGTCACTTTGATAGTATATATATAGTATATAAAAAGATACATGTATTTATTACCAAATAATTAAAAATATATAAGGGCCCAATCACACCTCATGTCAAAATACCAGAATCTAGCACACAAGGGCCAATGGACTTGACCTGACGCGTTTCGGCCTGCGTAGGCCTTCCTCAGAGGTCAAACGCAGTGAGGAGCATATTGGCTTAATATAACAGTACAGTACAATCATACAGATATAAAATATAAATACAAGAAGGACCAGAAAAAGACTGCTCTTTGCCTACCGAGGACACTTTGGCTAAGCAATCATAGGAAGGCACTTTCTGGACCAGAAATTATTACCAGTGAAACACCACTTGGCATATTGATTGCATCTGTGGAGGCCTCATTTGTACTTTTATTCTGTGCCTAGTGAGTTCATTTTGGAACAACTTTTTTCTGGTCCTTTTTGTATTTCTATTTTGTATCTGTATGATTGTACTGTACTATTACATTAGCCAATATGTTCCTCACTGTGTTTGACCTCTGACGAAGGCCTGTGCAGGCCGAAACGCTTCAGGGCTAATGGACTTGACCTGACGCATTTCGGCCTGCATATAAACACAAAGAGCTCTTTGCCTAAGGACAATTTTATGGAGGACACTTTGGCTGAACAATCATAGGAAGGCATTTTCTGGACCAGAAATTATTACCAGTGAAACACCACTTGGCATATCGATTGCATCTGTGGAGGCCTCATCTGTACTTTTATTCTGTGCCTAGTGGGTTCATTTTGGAACAACTTTCATCTGGTCCTTCTTGTATTCATATTTTATATCTGTATGATCGTACTGTACTATTGTATAAGCCAATATGTTCCTTACTGTGTTTTACCTCTGAAGAAGGCCTACGCAGGCCGAAACGCATCAGGTCAAGTCCATTGGCCCTTGTGTGTTAGATTCTGGTATTTTGACATGAGATGTGACTGGGCCCTTATATATTTTTAAATTCTGTGTTAATAAATACATGTATCTTTTTATACACTGTAGATATATTAAGCTTTTATTGTTGGTCCTCTTTTGTATGTGACTAACCTTTTCAGGTTCTGGAGCCCAGGTTTTTAGGTTCAGCCCCCCCCCCCTTTTGTTCAAGTCCCTTTGATAGCAGCCAAACCTCTTCTCCGGAAGGTAGAATCGTAGAGTTGGAAGGGGCCTCCAGGGTCATCTAGTCCAACCCCCTTCACAATGCAGGAAATTCACAAATACCTCACCCACACACACACAGTGACCTCTGTTCCATGCCCATAAGATGACAAAAAACCTCCAGGATCATAGGTTAAACTAGCCTGGAGAAAAATTCCTTCCTGACCCCAGGTTTAAACAAAGTGCCCCTCGCCCCCCAAAATCATTTGTGCACTGCACTGTGTGGCCTAGAAGTAAAAGCAAGATGGAGCTGGAACAAACAACTAGCTAGGAGACAAGCCTGGGAAACTATTTTGGGTAGGTGATTCAGGGTAACTGACTTGTTAGTTGCTCTCCTCCCCATCCCCAAAAGATATACTTAATCTCATCAATGGGTTTCTCAGGAAAGACACTACCCATCTTGACGTGATCATCACCACATCCTGTTGGATAGGCTGTTCCTAAAGCATGATAGCCTCTCCCGCCCTGTACTCTAGGGTCATCAGAAAACATTAACAATTTTAGTTTACACTAGACAGACTCATCAAGTGCCATTAGCTACACTCATGCACACTGTCATGAGTTTCCACTTGGTATTTGTCCACCCTGGGAAATCTGATCAAGGTATTGTGTTAGGGGCACACGCATCAGACACCCCCCCCCCAGGGTCAATTTTTCCTATAACTGAACATTCTCCACTTCAAAGAAAGTGTGTGTGTGTGTGTGTTCTATCAATGCCAAACATCACACCCTTTCTTGTGTGTAGGTCCTTACTTCTTCTCTCCAGAGAAACGCTGGCAGTTTTCTTTCACCACCTTCTGCAAACAGTGACCTTAAGACCTGGTAAATATCGCCCTCCCTGAATCACTTTCCCTGCTACTTCCTTTTATTTTCCTTTTAGAGAGTTTGTGTCGTTCCCCCATGTTACAGACAGCGGACACTGGAGAAGGATTTGGCAGAAGGTCTGGGTAGTTAGAGAGAACTCCCATACAAGCCAAATAGTAAAAGGAGTTATTGCTTCTTAGGGATGAGAAGCAGAAGAAGAGGAGATTGGATTTATACCCCGCCCTTCACTACCCAAAAGAGTCTCTGAGCGGCTTACAGACTCCTTTCCCTTCCCCTCCCCACAACAGACACCCTGTGAGGTAGGTGGGGCTGAGAGAGCTCTTGACAGTAACTGCTCTTTTTCGACAGCTGTGCCAGAACTACAGCTTGCCCAAGGTCATCCAGCAGCTGCATGTGAAGGAGTGGGGAATCAAACCCAGTTATCCCAGATTAGAGTCCGCACACTTAACCACTACTCCAAACTGAAGAGAATAACTTCCTGCCAGTGAAAGGAGTAGGGAAGAGAACCCTGGTCTGTGATAAAGGGGGGAATCTTAGACACCTCAGGAGTTAATGAAAAGCTGTATTATCTAAAGGAAAACTTGTAATATCTGAAGGAATAAATCTAGACACATCAGTAAGAACTGTGTTAGTGCTGAATTATGCTAAACAAAGTACCTCTCAAAGAAAGAAATAGAAAGCTTTGAAACCTCTCTAAATATTAGAAAGGTTTTTACCTCAGCAATCTCAAAACCTTGACTATTCCTATCATACGTATACTAGGAATAAGGCCCATTGTGGAAATAAATACAACGAACTGTAGAAAGAGACTCTGGGTTGGTGCCGCAGCCTTGGGCACTCAGCGTCAGTTTGCTGTGTTGACCTGTCATGATCATGGGCCTGTAGTGGTGCGGCCTACAGATGGACATGTGGTGGAACCAAAGAGAGCAGTTTCCAGAGAAGATTCTGTGAAACCCGGTGCCCACTTCACAGTGAAGAAAATAGTTGCAGGGGGAATTAAAGAAGACACAGAATACCATTTAAGAGAATATTTCGGAAAATATGGCAAGATTAAAACTGCAGAAGTAATGGAAGACAGGCAGAGTGGGAAGGAAAGAGGGTTTGCTTTTGTGATGTTTGATGATCATGATGCAGTTGACAAAACTGTTGTTCAGAGGTACCACACTATAAATGGACATAATTATGAAGTGGAAAAAGCCTTCTCCAAGTGAGAAATGCATGTTGCTGCTGAGAAATCGTGGAAGCTTTGGTGGCAAAGGAGACCAGGGTGGTGGAAGGGGCTCCAAACAGCCAAACCTAGCTTGTGACAATTAACGTCCTTACTGTATATGTTTTCTATCTGATATTTTATTGCTGTAGTGTTTTAAGTATGTTCACCACATAACAGCCTATAGTCGTTACCCCAAGTTCTATCGAAATGGTTTATAAAGTTTTGCATATTGGGTTTTAGGTCCTGTTAACAAGATGTGACTTTATTGCCCATGGTATGTAGACCTCATCGATAGGGGTTTAGATAGCCAGACCCCATGATTTGGTCTAGCGGGGGTGTGGGGGTGTGATGATACTGGGCCTATAGTGGTGCGGCCTACAGGCTCCTTTCCCTTCCCTTCCCCTCCCCACAGCAGACACCCTGTGAGTTAGGTGGGGCTGAGAGAGCTCTGACAGAAACTGCTCTTTTTCAAGGACAGCTGTGCCAGAACTTGTGACTGACCCCAGGTCACGACAGCAGGTACATGTGGAGGAGTGGGGAGTCAAACCCAGTTCTCCCAGATTAGAGTCCGCGCTCTTAACCACGACACCAAACACAATTCTGGTATTTCAGCCTCTTTATTTTGAGAGTTCTCATGGAATATAATACCCGTGAACATTGTTGGAGATCCCCTAGTTACCCCCTCTTGTTAAGTCTCCAGTTTCACTAATTTCCCCAATGAATTTGGAGACTCCCATTTGGGTAACACCTTTCCCCGTGCCAAGCTGTACATTATGCGCCCTCCCCAAATGTCCCCTCCCGATCTGCCTTCTCTGCCTGGCACGATCTCTGACGAGGGAATCTGTTTTTTCTTCCAGGGTCCCTTTTCCTTTGAGGAGGTGGCCGTGTGTTTCACCAAGGCAGAGCGGGTGCTCCTGGATCTGGGCCAAAGAGCTCTCGACACGGAACTCATGATGGAGGGCTACGGGAGCGTGGCCTCTCTGGGTAAGGATCTTTCTTAAGAAACCAAAGGTGCAAACGGCTGCCATTGGGATGAGGCATGGATCAAAATATTGAACACAAATACATAATTATAGGATGGGGGAGACTTTTCTTGGCAGTAGTATGTGTGAAACGGATCTAGGGGTCTTAGTAGACCATACACTGAACATGAGTCAGCAGTGTGATGTGGCAGCTAAAAAGGCAAATGCGATTTTGGGCTGAATCAACAGAAGTATCGTGTCCAGATCACACGAAATGATGGTGTCACTTTACTCTGTTCTGGTTAGACCTCACCTAGAGTATTGTGTTCAGTTTTGGGCACCACAGTTTTTTTTTTTAAGAAGGATGTAGACAAAATGGAACATGTCCGGAGGGCAACGAAGAGGGTGAGGGGTCTGGAGACCAAGTCCTACGAGGAAAGGTGGAAGGAGCTGGGTAGATTTAGCCTGGAGAGGAGGCGACTGAGAGGTGATATGATCACCCATCTTCCAGTCCTTAAGGGCTGTCACATAGAGGATGGTGCAGAGTTGTTTTCCGTTGCCCCAGAAGGTCCGACCAGAAACAACGGGTTGAAATTAAATCAAAAGAATTTTTGGCTAGGGGATGATGGGGGGCACTGATATTGGGCAATTAAATGTAACTGGGGATGGTTAAAAGGGTTAAAAGATTGACACAGTTCATAAGAAGTACAAAGATGAAAAGTTTGAAGTATAAAAAGCTAGTTGGAGATCTCCTCTCTTGGGTTTTTAGTTAGTAGTGTGTTCTTTACTTTCTCCCTTATATGTAGCTTTCCCTTTCCCTTTTTTCTGTTCTAGTTTTTGTAGTGTTTAAAAAGTCAATAAAAAAATCCCCTCTGGGGGCTTTAAAAAAAAAAATTGGCTGAACATTACTAAGAACTCTCTGACAGAGCTTTTGAGCGGTTCCAGAGCGGAACAGGCTTCCTCGGGAGGTGGCGGGCTCTCTTTCTTTGGAGGTTTTTAAGCAGAGGCTAGATGGAGGCCTTTCTTAGATGCCAAGGGAGATGCCGATTGCCACTTTGGGGTCAGGAAGTGATTTTCCTCCATGCCAGTCTGGCCAGGGATCCTCATGTGTTTATTTATTTATTTATTGTCATCTTCTGGGTATGGAGCAGGGGTCACTAGGGGTGTGCGGGGAGGTAGTTGTGATTTTCCTGCATTGTTGACTGACCCAAGGTCACCCAGCTGGCTCACGTGGAGGAGTGGGGAATCAAATAAGAACATAAGAACATAAGAAAAGCCAATGTTGGATCAAGCCAGTGGCCCATCCAGTCCAACACTCTGTGTCACACTGTGGCCAAAAATACCAGGTGCCCTCAGGAGGTCCAGCAGTGGGGCCAGGACACTAGAAGCTCTCCCACTGTTTCCCCCCCCAAAACACCAAGAATACAGAGCATCACTTGCCCCAGACCGAGAGTTCGTATAAGAACATAAGAGTCGCCAACGTTGGATCGGGCCAGTGGCCCATCCAGCCCAACACTCTCTGTGTCACCCAATGGCCAAAAATACCAGGTGCCCTCAGGAGGTCCAGCAGTGGGGCTAGGACACTAGACGCCCTCCCACTGTTGACCCTCCCAAGCACCAAGAAGACAGAGCATCACTTGCTACAGACATAAGAACATAAGAGAAGCCAGTGTTGGATCAGGCCAGTGGCCCATCCAGTCCAACACTCTCTGTGTCACCCAGTGGCCAAAAGTACCAGGTGCCATCAGGAGGTCCACCAGTGGGGCCAGGACATTAGAAGCCCTCCCACTGTTGACCCCCCCCAAGCACCAAGAAGACAGAGCATCACTTGCCCCAGAGTCCCTATCTATACCTTGTAGCTAACAGCCACAGATGGACCTCTGCTCCATATGCTTATCTAATTCCCTCTTGAAGCTGTCCATGCTTGTGGCCGCCACCACCTCCTGTGGCAGTGAATTCCAAGTGTCAATCACTCTTTGGGTGAAGAAGCCCTCAGGAAGGGGTCTGTCCCCCAGATCACTCATACACATCTACCCCTGTCGCTAGCAAAAGCATCCTTCTGCTAGCCAAGGGAAAACACGTGTATTGTGGGGTTTTAATTCCCGAGATCCTAAACCTATGTCTACCTGGGTCGAGGTACAGACCAACACTCAAAAGAAATGAAGGGCATCAGCTTCTTAAACAAGAAAATAACTTCATTAAGTTTGCAGAAAGAGAACCGGGTATGGTTCGGAAAATAAAAATACGAGCGCTACAGAAAGGAAATAAATGCTAAGACGAAGGAGGAGAAAAGGCGTTGGCTTTGGAACGTGGGAGTGATGAAAAGTCCGTCTCTCTAGAGATGAACTAATATGAAAAGGGTTTTGTGGTGTGCATTGTGGAGGGGAGTTTTTCTTCTTTTGTATTGCAGGGGAAAGTCTAAGGGAGAAGTGTTCCTTTACGGAGACTGAGAGTTTAGATAGGCAAGTAGGTGTCTGAGTTTACATGAAGAAGAAGAAGAGACTGGATTTATACCCCCCCACCCCCGCCCTCCACTTGGAGTCTCAGAGCGGCTTACAATCTCCTTCCCTTCCTCTCCCCACGGCAGACATCCTGTGAGGCAGCTGGGGCTGAGAGAGCTCTGACAGGAACGGCTCTAGGAGAACCGTGACTGACCCAAGGTCACCCAGCTGGCTCACGTGGAGGAGTGGGGAATCAAATAAGAACATAAGAACATAAGAAAAGCCAATGTTGGATCAGGTCAATGGCCCATCCAGTCCAACACTCTGTGTCACACAGTGGCCAAAAATACCAGGGGCCATCAGGAGGTCCACCAGTGGGGCCAGAACTCCAGAAGCCCTCCCACTGTTAAGAACATAAGAGAAGCCAATGTTGGATCAGGCCAATGGCCCATCCAGTCCAACACTCTGTGTCACACAGTGGCCAAAAATACCAGGGGCCATCAGGAGGTCCACCAGTGGGGCCAGGACACTAGAAGCCCCTCCCACTGTTGCCCCCTCCCAAGCACCAAGAAGACAGAGCATCCCTTGCCCCAGACTGAGAGTTCCTATCTGTGTTGTTGTTCTCCAGATTAGAGTCTGCAGCTCTTAACCATGACCCCAAACTGGCTGTCATGGTGGAGCAGGAGGAGAAATCTTCCTGTCCAGTACTTAAGATAAGGAAGAAATGGCTGGGTTATATGGCTTCCGTGTTTCCCCCAAAATAAGACACTGTCTTATATTTATTTCTTCTCAAGAAGACACACTAGGGCTTATTTTCAGGGGATGTCTTATTTTTATTAAGTATAATACAACAATCTACATTCATTCAAATACAGTTAAGTCATCTTCTTCTGGAACATCGTCACCACTCTCATCAGTAGGTCTTATTATCGGGGTAGGGCTTATATACCACAAATGCATAGAAATCCTGTTAGGGCTTATTTTGGGGGTAGGTCTTATTTTCGGGGAAACGGGGTTGTTATTAAGTCCAGATCCCAGAGAGGGAACCCCTTAAGTCCTTGGGGGGGGGGGAAGGCCGTTCGGTGGGCTCCCACCAGATGTGGCTTTCGCGGGATCACTCGGAGGAGCTGCTTCCCACTCCTTGCACGCTCTCAGGATGACTCGCTGTCGTTTTGATATCTGTTTGATCCAGACCTCCATTTCCCATGGGTAGGCCCATGCTAAGATGTACGAGTGTGGACAGGGATCCAAAATGGAGGTCCCCAGTGTGGAGTCGGGAGTCTCGTGGCATCTGGCCAGACCCTGATTTCTCAGTTGCCAACTTTAAAACACACCCTTCCCCTGGATGGGATTAAAGCCATCCACTATGTCTTTGATCTGGTATGGATTCGTCCTCCTTAAATTGGGTAGGACTATTTTTGAGCTGCGGTGGCTCAAGTGGTTAAGACGCTGAACTGCAGGGTGTGGAAGGTCGGTAGTTCAGCAGTACGGGACCCGAGTGCGCCGCATGACGGAGTGAGCTCCCGTCTCTGGTCCCAGCTCCTGCCAACCTAGCAGTTCCAAAGCAAGAAATTGCAAGTAGTTAAATAGGGACCGCTTCGGTGGGGAGGGAACAGCGTTCCGTGCGCCTTGGTGTTTAGTCATGCCGGCCACATGACCACGGAAATGTCTTCGGACAGCGCTGGCTCTTCGGCTTTGAAACGGAGATGAGCACCGCAACCCTAGAGTCGGATTCGACTGGCTTTCGAGCAAGGGAATCTTTACCTTTACTTTATGGGCTTTGAGGCTGACCATGTTTCCACCCTTCCAGAATTTTTTTTCCCTCTTCCTTGGATTTCTTTCCCATATAAGAATGAGATCTCTCTCTCTGTCTCTCTCTCTCTTTGTCTCTCTCTCTCTCTCTATCGAGCTCGCTGCACATTTTGCATTTTACAACTCCTTTGGCATGGTGATTGGAAGGGGGATGGAAGCATGTGAACCCTGAATGCTTTTGTTTTCCAAAGATGCTTTGATGCTTTCTCATGGCCCTTGAAGTGCTGATTACCACTTTGGGGTCAGGAAGCAATCCTGGAGGGGTTTTTTGTCATCTTCTGGGCATGGAACAGTGCATGTGTGGAGGGGGAGGTATTTGTGAATTTCCTGCATTGTGCAGGGGGTTGGACTAGGTGACCCTGGAGGTCCCTTCCAACTCTATGATTCTATTATGTCCTAGACATGTTATCTTTCCTGCTTCCCCGAGAACCTCTTATTGACTTGAGTCTCAAATGTCTGTGCTCACTTTTGTCTGGCATGTTGGGGTGGTGGTGGCACCAAGTGGGGGAATGGATGGCACCTTCATTTGGCGGGTGAAATCCCATGGGGTAATTGGTTCTGAACCTTTTAGAACCAATCCCATGGGGTAATTGGTTCTGAACCTTGAAATCCCATGGGGTAATTGGTTCTGAACCTTCTGAACCTTGCTTGAACCCTGTATGCCTATTGCTTTTGCACCTTTAAGCTCAGTTCTAACACAGCCAGTGTACAGGCTGGATCCTATCAGTGTCACAATAAATGTATCCTTCTTCGAAGTGAATGTTGTTGGGAACTGATTTACCCAGAGGTCTGTCTGTCTGTCTATCTGTCTGTCTGTCTGTCTCTCTGTGCCAATGAAGCCAGGAATGCAAGAGAGATTATGTAAGAACAGTCAGGCTGAACTAGGCAAAAGGGTAATCATTTATTCTTTTCAGACATCACCTAGATGCTGTAATCCCCAACAACAACTGATATCCCTTTCGAAACCATGGGGGAGGTCCCTTGAACTCCGGGGTTCACTTGGTGAGGTCCTGGCATCTCCCTGCCCTATTCCAACATTAGATGTAGAGGAGACACTTGGGGAAATCCAGAGGTTTTCTTTGGAAAAAGCCAAGGAAACTTCAGCGATGGAAATGGACCGTAGGCAGGCAGGAAGCCACTTTTAATGTGTATGTTGTTGTATATTTCGTGTACAGCAGGAACAAGGCCCTGATGTGCTTCGAGCGTGGATGGAATTTCAAGTGCAAATCAGACCTCCTCCTGTGGGTGCTAACAGGTTCTCTCTATTTATTACCAACAGGGGACGATCGTGGAAATGAGGAGGACGAGGAACTGCATCATCTGTTGCCAGATGAAGACAAGACTGAAGACCTGAGTGGAAACTTCGGGACTCAAGGCGGACCCAAGGGGCAGAATGGAAGCCACCTAGTGGAGAAGAGGGATCAACCCACTCCTTTCCAAGGGGGGGACTTCTGTGAAGCAGTTCACATGGTGGAGGAAATGTACACGTGCTTGGGGTGCGGAATGATCTTCTCAGATGAAGCCCAATATAATGTCCATCTTCAGCTGCAGTGTGGAAAGAAGACCCATCAGTTCCTGGATTATGGAAAGAGCTTCCTTTGCGGAGCAGAGCTCCTTAAACATCAACAGACACATGGAGGAGAAAAGCTTCATAATTTCTCAGACTGTGGCGAGAGTTCCTCAGAGAAATCAGAGCTTATTAAACATGAAAGCATTAATTCAGGGGAGAAGCCACTTCTCTGTTCAGAGACTGGAATGACAGACTCTGATGAAAGACATGGAAATCTACATTCCCCAAGGCACATTATAATGAAGGCATGTAAATGCTTTCGATGTGGAAGGTACTTTAAGTGCAGATCACAGGACTTTGTGAACCAACGAATACACACAGGGGAGAAACATTTTGAATGCTCAGAGTGTGGGAAGAGATTCAAAGAGAGTGATGAACTTCTAAAGTATCTAACAGCCCAAACAGGGGAGAAACCTTTTGAATGCTTAGAGTGTGGGAAGAGATTCAAACACAGATGTAGTCTTCAGCAGCACCTAAGAATCCACACAGGGGAGAAACCTTTTGAATGCTCAGTGTGTGAAAAGAGATTCAGTCTCAGACATAATCTTAGAAGCCATCTAAGAACCCACTCAGGGGAGAAACCTTTTGAATGCTCCGAGTGTGGAAAGAGATTCAGCTTGAGTAGCAATCTTCGCAAACATTTGGGAACTCACACAGGGGAGAAACGTTTTGAATGCTTGGAGTGTGGAAAGAGATTCAGGTTGAGCGACAGTCTTCAGCATCATCAAAGAACTCACACAGGGGAGAAACCTTTTGAATGCTCAGAGTGTGGAAAGAGATTCAATCAGAAAGGCCATCTTCAGCTGCATCAAAGAACCCACACAGGGGAGAAACCTTTTGAATGCTTAGAGTGTGGAAAGAGATTCATTGACCCAAGTAGCCTTCGAAAGCACCTACAAGTCCACACAGGAGAGAAACTTTTTGAATGCTCAGAGTGTAGAAAGAGATTCAGTGATACTAGTAGCCTTCGAAAGCATCTACGAGTCCACACAGGGGAGAAACCTTTTGAATGCTCTCAGTGTGGAAAGCAAATATGTGACAGTAGCAATTTTCAACGTCATCTAAGAACCCACGCAAAGGAAAAAATGTTTGAATGCTCAGAGTGGGGAAATGAGTTAAATCAGAGCAGCTACCTTGAAGACCATCAAAGAACCCACACAGGGGAGAAACCTTTTGAATGCTCAGAGTGTGGAAAGCGATTCACTCAAAAAGGCCATCTTCAGCTGCATCAAAGAACCCACACAGGGGAGAAACCTTTTGAATGCTCAGTGTGTGGAAAGAGATTCAATGTGAAAAGTAGCCTTCAAAAGCACCTACGAGTCCACTCAGGAGAGAAACCTTTTGAATGCTCAGTGTGTGGAAAGAGATTCAGTGACACAGGTAGCCTTCGAAAGCACCTACGAATCCACACGGGGGAGAAACCTTTTGAATGCTCAGAGTGTGGAATGAGATTCAGTCACAGTGGGAATTTTCAGCGGCATCTAAGAACCCACACAAAGGAGAAACCTTTTGACTGCTCAGAGTGTGGAAAAAGTTTCAGTCAGGGTGTCCATCTACAACAGCATCTAAGAACCCACACAGGGGATAAACCTTTTGAGTGCTCAAAGTGTGGAAAGAGATTCAGTCGGAGTGCCTCTCTTCAACAGCATCAAAGTACCCACACAGGAGAAACCTTTTGAATCCTCAAAGTGTGGAAAGAATAGCAATCTTCTTACAGCATCAAAGAATCCACACAGGGGATAAACTTGAATGCTCAGAGTGTGAAAAGAAATTCAGTCTCAATGACAGTCTTCAACATCATCAAAGAACCCATAGAAAGAGAAACCATATAACTGCTTAGCTTTTGAAAAGATCTTTTCTCTTCTTTCACATGAAAAAGACAAACATAGAAACCACATTGAAACCACATTAAGTCTTGTAAAGTGGTTGTATCTGCCCAGAATCCTGACCCTTACCTGGAAGAAATGATAGAAATATTCGGACTGAGGACGAAACTGCGATAGATTTCACACGCAAGAAGGGAAGGATGTGTTCTGAGAGTGGAAAGAGATCAAAGACCAGCCCATATCTCCTTAACCATCGGAGAATCCACACAGGGGAGGAACCTCTTTAGTTGTAGCAAGAGCTTGATGCAGTGTATCCAAAATGCATTAGATCAGTGAACCTCACTCTTGCCCCCTACACACTTCCTCTTAGACCTAGTTGATATGCTTGATTAAAAGTTGTGGGGGGTTTTGTTTTGAGGAAACTTTCTATTTACAAACCAGGGGAGTGGCGAAGGGTAGCACCTTTACCCCTAGCGTGGGCTGTCATTTATGGCTAATGTTGAACAGGAATGGATCTGTCACGCCACCACCAATCCCTTCTTTAACAATATAAGCTTTTATAAAAGATTTATAGACAATTTTTTTCTTCTCTTTGATGATACTAAATTTAATGAGTTTGTTGATTGGGCTAATGGTAGGCATTCTGTTACAAAATTTACTTCGCAGTATAGCCATACTCTGAGAGTCCCTTGGACTGCAAAAAGATCAAATCAGTCAATCGTAAAAGAAATCAACCCTGACTGTTCCCTGGAAGGCCAGATAATGAAACTGAAGCTCAAATACTTTGGCCACCAAATGAGAAGGGAGCACTCACTGGAGAAGACCCTGATGCTGGGAAAGATTGAAGGTCAAAGAAGACGGGGACGGCAAAGGATGAGATGGTTAGACAGTGTCATAGATGCAACGAACATGAAATTGAGCCAACTTCAGAGGACGGCGGAAGACAGGAGGGCCTGGCGGGAGATGGTCCATGGGGTCGCGAAGAGTCGGACTCGACTGTGCGACTGAACAACAATAGCCATACAGATATTAATTTCCTTGACACCTCTGTTTTTGTAACTCACACTGGAAAATTGGCAGTTAGGTCCTTTACCAAACCATCTGACAAAAGCTCCTACTTTTTAAATCTCATCACATTAGACATTTGAGACATAGTCTTCCTTATGGGCAGTATTTACATGCCAAAAGGAATTCAACCTTTGTTGAACATTATCAGCAGTAATGCCCCAAATTAAACAATTCAGTGCTCGTAATTATCCACGACAACTGATAGAGAATACCTCTTTAGGAATGCCAGTTTATTTGAAGTCACTTCACAAAAACAAAAATCCAACATTTTTGTGCCTTTAATTACACCCCATTGGCCGTTTCTATTTAAAACATAATTTTAAAACACTGGCATAGTATTCATGATATCCTGGGTTGCTTAGAAAAAACATTCATTTGCTTTAGAAAAACCAAAAGCCTCAGCAACACTCTAGCCAGGGCTTACATACTTACACGCTTTATCATTACCTGCAGGTGTTGGCCATCAAAAGTGCAGAAGATTTTTCATATGCCTGCAAGCATGGGAAACCAAAAGATTAACTGTTCCTGAGATCAACTTTGAAAGCGATTTTAAGTTTTTTTCCACCTGCTCATCCAAATGGGTTGTTTATCTTATAAAACGTGCTTGTGAATTATCGTATGTAGGGATGTCTACCCGCTCTGTACGTACTTACATTATTGAGCATAAGTCAGGCATAAGACATCAACATTTAGATTTTCCTCTCATCCAATATTTCATGGATGCAGGTCATGATCATAATGATTTGAAATTTCTTGTACTGAAAATAGTACTTGCTAAAAAAAAGTAATACAGTAAATATACAGGAATCCCTGTACCAACATGAAGCATTCTGGATTAACCGATTAAGGACGTACTATCCATATGGATAGTGTGGATCACAACAAACTATGGCAAGTCCTTAAAGAGATGGGAGTACTAGACCAGCTCACATGTCTCCTGAGAAACCAGTATAAGGGTCAAAAAGCGACAGAACCAGATACGGAACAACTGATTGGTTTAGCATAGGAAAAGGAGTACGACAAAGATGTATATTGTCACCTTGATTATTTAATTTATATGCTGAGTACATTATACGAAATGCCGACCTGGATGATTCAGAAGCCGGAATTAAGATTGCTGGGAAAAACAACAACCTCAGATATGCAGATGGTACCACTCTAATGGCAGAAAGTGAAGAGGACCTAAAGTGCTTCTTGCTGAGGGTCAAAGAGAAGAGCGCAAAAGTTGGCTTGAAACTCAACATCAAAAAAACTAAGATCACGGGCGGCATCCAGCCCCATCACTCCTTGGCAAATAGAAGGAGAAGTCGTGGAAGCAGTGACAGACTTCACATTCCTGGGATCCAAGTTCACTGCAGACTGTGACTGCAGCCATGAAATTAAAAGACGCCTGCTCCTTGGGAGGAAAGCAATGGCAAACCTAGACAGCATAATAAAAAATAGAGACATCACCCTGCCAGCAAAAGTCCGTATGGTCAAAGCATTGGTATTCCCAGTAGTACTGTATGACTGCAAGAGTTGGACTATGAGGAAGGCCAAGCACTGAAGAATAGATGCTTTTGAATTATGGTGCTGGAGAAGACTCTTGAGAGTCCCCTGGACTGCTAGGAAATCAAATCAGTCAATCCTAAAAGAAATCAACCCTGACTGTTCCCTGGAAGGCCAGATGCTCAAATACGTTGGCCACCAAATGAGAAGGGAGCATTCACTGGAGAAGACCCTGATGCTGGGAAAGACTGAAGGTCAAAGAAGAAGAGGATGGCAAGGGATGAGATGATTAGAGAGTGTTATGAATGCAACGCACATGAAATTAAGCAAACTCCAGAGCATGACAGAATACAGGAGGGCCTGGTGTGATGTGGTCCATGGGGTCGCGAAGAGTTGGACTCGACTGTGCAACTGAACAACAACAAATCCATATGGTCTCAACTAAACACTAGAGTTGTCATGTTTTCTTTAACATATGGTTGTCTCGTTAACTCCCCAGGATTCTTCCTGTAGCCTTCCTGTATATTCATTAGCATCCTACTTATTACTAGGAGGCAGTACTAGCTTAATAATGTTATAGAGTTGCTTGTCTGAAGATTGTGACTGGTTGCCCATTTGAAAGTCATTGTCGTTTTTTGCAAATATTTTTGCAAATATTATGGAACTATATTGGTAAGCTTTGTATTTTTTCCCCTGATGTCTTTAAATGAATAATCTCATGATAATAGTACTGAGTCATTATCGCTCTTCTCAATAGAACTTTTGAAAATTGATTGAAGATACAAAATTGATTCCAGATATAAATGGAAACAGTACTTAGTTTATATTTATTATAAAATATACACATACTTGCAATACTGAAGTCCAACTTTATTATATCGTATTTAATTTTTATTTTTTGATGTTAGCAAACATGCATTTCTGAAGAAGACAATTGAAATGAAGCTCATATCCGGAATCTTCATTGAGAATTTCACTGTAGAACTTTATTCGAATTCATTGTTATTTTGCGCATTACATATTGGGCATTATTGTATTGTGTATTGTCGCATACAAGTATATTACATTTTATTTAACGTATCTATAGACATATTGTCATCCTTGGCGTCTGCTATTCACAGTTTGTATTCTGGTCATTATTATTTATTGTGAGGTTTTTCTGGGTTTTTTGGAACTTGGGGCAATCCGACTAGTGTTCCCTCTAAGCTGAGTTAGTGTGAGCTAGCTCACAGTTTTTTAGCCTCCGGCTCACACATTTTTGTCTTATCTCAGGAAGGAGGGCTCCAGAGCAAACTAATTCATGCAGTAGCCAAATCAGTCACTCACAACTTTAATGCCCAGTAGCTCACAAAGTAGAATTTTTTTCCTCACAAGACTTCACAGCTCAGAGGGGACATTGCTAGCACCGAGCGCTTTCCAAATCCTATCGAGGAACAAGTCTGTGCTACGGCACACAGTCAGTACTACGGCCAAGGCGCACAGCAATCGGCAAGGAGGCACCAGATCGATAGTGCTCCTCCACGATTCCAAAGTCCTGTTTGTTTGGGCGGGGAGAAAAAAATGGTAGTTCTAAAAGCAGAACACCTTTACAGTCTTGCAAACCGCCAAGCCAATTGGCTGAGCAGGAAGGATTCAGATCCAGGAGAATGGAGTCTACACAAAAAGATCATCTAGCAAAATCACACTTTTTTTTCAGGAGCCCTATCTTGGATCTTTATACAACACCAGACTATAACCAAGTTGCCAGGTTTCTAACCAGTCTCTACGATTACAGGGCAAGGGCACACGCACTTTTTGTTGATGCAGTGGTCTGCTGTACACTTTTCCTCTGACCACACTGATAGGCTGAAGCCTGAACAAAGTGTCAAAGGAGACAACGGAGGTGATTTTCATCTCTCTCTTCTGGCACAGACGTTTTTGTGTCTCAGAGCTAGCGAAGATTTCAGTGTCTCCACCACGTCAAGAGATGGGTTCTCCTTGTACAAGAACCCACTCGCCACCCCCAGCTCCTAGCTAACAGCTACTGGTGGAATTAGTAGGATTGTGCCTTCCAAATTAAGTAGTCTCTGTAATTATACATAGCAGACATTCAGAAGTGGGCACTCCGTGAAATTGCTGAGCAGTCGGGTTGGAACAGATAAAAGGAAGTCGGAAGTCCTTCTTCACCCAAAGAGTGATGAACACATGGAATTCACTGTCACAGGAAGTGGTGGCGGCTACAAGCATGGACGGCTTCAAGAGGGAATTAGATAAGCATATGGAGCAGAGGTCCATCGGTGGCTCTTAGCCACAAAGCATAGATAGGGACTCTGGGGCAAGTGATGCTCTGTCTTCTTGGTGCTTGGGGGGGGGGTAACAGTGGGAGGGGCTTCTAGTGTCCTGGCCCCGCTGCTGGATCTCTTGATGGCACCTGGTATTTTTGGCCACTGTGTGACAGAGTGTTGGGCCATTGGCCTGATCCAACATTGGCTTCTCTTAAGTTCTTATGGGGCAAGAGATGCTCTGTCTTCTTGGTGCTTGGGGGGGGGGCAACAGTGGGAGGGGCTCCTAGTGTCCTGGCCCCACTGCTGGACCTCCTGATAGCACCTGGTACTTTTTGGCCACTGTGTGACACAGAGAGTGTTGGACTGGATGGGCCATTGGCCTGATCCAACATTGTCTTCTCTTATGTTCTTATGACCATACTGTACTGCAGTATTCAGGGTGTCTGTCACTATCGGCACAGATACCCTCCTCATTTATTAAAAGGTAAAGGTCTCCCTTGCTCGAAAGCCAGTTGAATCCGACTCTAGGGTTGCGGTGCTCATCTCCGTTTCAAAGCCGAAGAGCCAGCGCGGTCCGAAGACGTTTCCGTGGTCATGTGGCCGGCATGACTAAACACCAAGGCGCACGGAATGCTCATTTATTAGGAAGGTGGTAAAAGCACATTTTATTGGTTCTTTGGCTTTTATTTTTTCTTTATCACACATATTGACCAATGCTCCCCCTAAACTGTCGAGTCTTGTGAGCAAAAATTCTACTTTGTGAGTAACTGGCATTAAAGCTGTGAGCGAGTGATTTGGCTCCTGCATAAATTAGTTTGCTCTGGAGCCCTCCTTCCTGAGCCGAAACAAAAATGTGTGAGCTGGAGGCTAAAAAACCGTGAGCTGGCTCACAATGACTCAGCTTAGAGGGAACACTGATATTGACTAATCTGGAGCTATAGCATAGTCAGACGTTGATTTCCTGCTCAGAGTCATTTTAAGGCTTTGGCATTTGTTTGGTCTGGCCGCTGCCTTCTGTGACTTAACGAAGGAGCTGTTGTTAACTTTTGCTTTTGGAGACAAGAGAGTCCAACGTGTTTTCTTTGATTGCGTCTTCCCCTTATCCACATCTCAGCGAATTCTTTTTGTTAAGACACTGTCTCTGAATTTTAAAGAAACCTGATTTGGGTAGACTTAGGAAGTTAACTTCTTTTTTTCTTACTGAAGCAAGGCTTATGCCGAGTTATGGGAACTACCATTGCCCCTCGACGTAAAATTAATTTCAGTCCTCTACAACTGGAATGGGGGTCAGCATCATACAGAAGACTTCTAAATAGGAGGCTGTGCTGTTTCCCTCTAGAATAAACTCTTAATGGGCTGGATATTACCAACAGACCATCCTCTTTAGAATATAACCCAAAGGCTATTATTATTATTATTATTATTATTATTATTATTATTATTATTATTATTATTATTTTATTTGGATTTATATCCCGCCCTCCCCGAAGGCTCAGGGCGGCTAACAGAGGCATAACGCGAGATAATAACAATAAAACAGTATAAAATACTAACAATACAAAATAAACAATTAAATAGTTAAACAGAATTCATAAAAACATTTTCGGTGCTCCCCTACTCACTTCCGAATTTTAAAGTCAAGATGGTGTTCTCGATGGTATGGCTACTCACAGCAGGGCGTATCTCCACTGTTGTCCCCTAGGCACGTCCCGCTCCCTCCGATGGTATCCGCACCAACGATGGCAATGTGCGGAAATTAGCAACCAATGTTCCCACTAAGCTGAGTGCGAGCTAGCTCACAGTTTTTTAAGCCTCCGGCTCACACATTTTTGTCTCAGCTCAGGAAGGAGGGCTCCAGAGCAAACGAACTTATGCAGTAGCCAAATCGTTTGCTCACAACTTTAATGCCGGTAGCTCACAAAGTAGGATTTTTGATCACAAGACTCCACAGCTTAGAGGGAGCATTGTTCACAACCATTTTTTTTTTAACTATCTATAAATTAAACTAAATGGATTAAGAAGACTCTTATGAAAAGTACATAATGAACTTTAACATGCTGGATTCAATTGTAAGTGGATACTATTGATATTTAATGGATATTTTATTTGGTACCTCCTGGCTCAAATATTAGGGGTTCATGGAAGGGTCAAAAGTAGATGCTCCTAGAGACATTTATATTGACCACACTCATTCTAATCCTGGGGGAAGGAGAATACACATGGATGGGAGAGGGAGAGAGAAGGGGTGGGTGGGTGGGAGACAGAAGGCATCCAAAAAGCCATATGGATGAGGAGAGAGGGGGGAAAGGGAGGGTGAGCAGGCGCAGTCTTAAAAACTAAAAGGAAGGATCCCCAAGAAAGCCGGAAACCTGTCAGCAGCAGAGCTTCCTCCAGCTCTTTCTGCTTCCTGTCACGCCAATGCAGTGTATGGCGGGAGTCGGGACTACGACATCTTGCGATTTTGGATGTTATGCCTCTATTGATACTCTCCAACACTGCATTGGAGTTTAGGGATCCTGTCTATAAGACCTTTAATTTTTGTCCCTGGCAGCACATCTCTCGGGCTGGGGGGGGGGGTCAGGCCTGGACACATGACGTTCCATACCCCTCGGCAGGGAGTCACCTATGACTGACCAACACCTTCCTTCTCCTCCCAATGCCCTTTCTCCGTATCTCCCTGGCCTCCTCCCTGTCTTCCTTGCGTTTGTGATACTTCCGCTGGCAGTGTTTCCATCTCTGCCTCCACTGCAAGGGCCTGGAATCGGTTCTTTGGTTCTTAAAGAGCCAGTTTGGTGTTGTGGTTAAGTGCGTGGACTCCAATCTGGGAGAACCGGGTTTGACTCCCCACTCCTCCACTCGCACCTGGCTAGATGACCTTGGGCAAGCCGTAGTTCTGATAAGAGCTGACTTTGAAAAAAGAGCAATTTCTGTCAAGAGCTCTCTCAGCCCCACCTACCTCACAGGGTGTCAGTTGTGGGGAGGGGAAAGGAAAGGAGTTTGTAAGCCGCTCTAGGACACCTCTGGGTAGTGAAGGGCGGGGTATATATCTAATTTATTCTTCTTCTTAAGACATGGAGTGCTGCCTCACTCAACGCCTTTGGGGTCCTGCTGTAGCGCTCTGAGGAGTCTTGTTAGAGCAGTCAACTGTTGTCTCTTCGACTGGTCTCTTCTTCCCTATGCAAGACATCAAGGCTTCTGTTAATGAATTCTTCCCCTTCCTTGATCTCATGGAGACTCCCAAGTGAAGGGCAGGTTATAAATCCAACTCTTCTTCTTCAAAGATAGCCAGTTTGGTGTAGTGGTTGAGTGCGCGGACTCTAATCTGGGAGAACCGGGTTTGATTCCCCACTCCTCCACTCGCACCTGGCTGGATGACCTTGGGCAAGCCGTAGTTCTGACAAGAGCTGTTCTTGAAAAAATAGCAGTTTCTGTCAAGAGCTCTCTCAGCCCCGCCTACCTCACAGGGTGCCTGTTGTGGGGAGGGGAAGGGAAAGGAGTTTGTAAGCCGCTCTGAGACTCCTTTGGGTAGTGACGGGCGGGGTATAAATCCAATCTCCTCTCCTCATCCTCCTCTGCAACTGCTTCTCATCTAAAAATGTTTGTGAATTAAGGATGCCGGCTGGGCACACTAGGTTTATGTCAATAGTAAAGAGGGTGTAGGTATCTGTTACCCTTAATGTGTCTATTTCCTCACAAGATTAGGGAAAGGAAATGTTTTTGCCAGTTTCGTAGATGTCAGAAGGAGTTGGATTGGCAGATAACCTGAAGTCGTGAGTATCACAGAGGAGAGCGACCACTAAATGCCCCTCCTTTGTGTAAGTACTATGTACTGCAGAGCACCATTTTATCTTGTATTTATTGAAGTTTTAATGTATTTTATGTTTTGATTCGGCATGGCCGCTGTTAGCCGCCCTGGGCCGTATGGGTAGGGCGGAATACAAATCCCAAAAATAAAATAAATAAATAAATAAATAAATAAATAAATAAATAAAGTACTTTCTGAGCCTTTCTGAACTTTCAACCACCTGGGCTTCTGAAGAAGACCCTCATCAGAACCACCGATAGGAATGTTTCACTCTCGTATGGATTTTCTGAAGGACCTGAAAATCGGATCTGTGTCTCACGCTCCTGCCACCCAGTGAGTATTTAGGAGGTTCCTCCCTTTTGTGGACTCCTCTAAGACAAAGGAAATATCAGCTGATCTTGAATCTCCCTCCACCCATCCTTGCTTTCTTCCCTGTGGGATCTCTTTGAGGGCTTCAAACACGGCTAAAGCTCCTCTCACAGTCCAAGCATTTCAAACAGTTCTTCCTGCTTAGGGTAGGATTTCTGTGTGAAATAAGAGAAAAACTTTTATTCATGGGCTAAGCCAGGGGCGTCAAACATGCAGCCCGCAGCCCAGATCCGGGCCCCGGAGGGCTCCCATCTGGCCTACAAGGAAAGGGCTGTCTCCTGCTTCTTTCTCCAATTCTGCTGCTGCATCATAGCTTGTTTTGCCAGGCTCTCCCAATCGCTCAGGAGAGATAGATACTGTCCCCTGAACTAGCTGAGGCTCCTCCCCCTCCTAGGGGAGGGAGGAAATGAGCCAGAGCTTGCTTCTTGGCCAGGCTGCCTCAATCGCACAGAAGACAAAGGCAAGCCTTTCTTCTCCTCCATTGGCTGAGGCATCTCCCCGAAGGGAAAGAGGGAGGGAACAAGGTAGAGCTTGCTTTGCTTGGCTGCCTCAGTTGCACGGGAGAGATGCAAAGCACCTTTAAGACCAACAAAGTTTTATTCAAGGTATGAGCTTTTGTGTGCCTTGCTACAGTGTATGTGTTGTTGGGCATGTTGGGCTCTCTTGGGTGCAACTGGGTTCCCCTCCTCTTTTTCACCGTATTCATGCCCACTTGATCCAGTTTTTCTCAGTAGGAAAGCAACGTGAACTATTTAAATGAGGAATAACAACAAGCAAATGAGGTGGATTAGGCTAAATGTGTGTGTCCACACCAAGTTCTCCCAGCACACTTCCTTTGTAGACTTGGGATTTTGAACCTAGACTTCCCAGATAGTAGGCTGGTACTTGCTGCCTCTATTCTTGCACTGCCTCATAGGATTTGTAGTTATTTATCTGGGGAAAACTAAAGTTTTGTAGACAAAACCATAGCCCTCAGTCTGTGTCAGGATGCCTTCTCATGTTCTTGACCAGCACATGAAGCAACTTACATGCAAAGGATCACAACACCCAGACATTTCATGTTTGCTCCTGGGTTGTAGGCTCAGAACACTGACCATAACGTCTCTGTAATAAATTCAAATAAATCAAAAGCAGGTTTGCAGCTTACAGATACATACTTGAACAGCATATTCAAGATTGCTACTGCACAGACTTTTTGATGCAATAGTTCAGAACAAGAAGTGCCAGTTATCAGACACTATTAAATAAACAAAATATTGCAAGAGTGCTAATGTTTTAAGCATGGTTTTATTTTAAGTAAAACAAATATTTAATTGTGTCTGTGTCCTGTATAAAGTGTGTATCTCCACTACCTGGCATTACATTTTATGACACACATGGCCTGGCCCAACAAGGTCTCATTTATGTCAGACCTGGCCCTCATAAGAAATGAGTTCAACACCCCTGGGCTAAGCAGGTACATAGTTTCTCCTTGTGTGGGTTCTCTAATGCCACTGAAGACTGCTACTGTTACTCAATCTCTTTCCACACTCTGACAATTCAAACTGTTTCATCCATGTCGGTTCTTAGGTCCTGTTCAAGATGGCAACTCAAACTGAAGCTCTTTAAACACTCCGAGCATTCAAAAGGTTTTTGCTGTTGAACAAATCTCTTTTCCACATTCTGAATATTCCAAAGGTTTGTCTTCTGTGTGGTTTCTTTGATGCTGTTGAAGATGGCCACGTTGACTGAATCTCTTTCCACACACTGAACATTCAAAAGGTTTCTCCCCTGTGTGGGTTCTCTGATGCTGTTGAAGATGGCTACTCTGACTGAATCTTTTTCCACACTCAAAGCATTCAAAAGGTTTCTCCCCTGTATGGGTTCTCTTATGCCTCTGAAGAGGGCTACTCCGACTGAATCTCTTTCCACACTCAAAGCATTCAAAAGGTTTCTCCCCTGTGTGGGTTCTCTGATGCTGTTGAAGAGTGCCACTGCGACTAAATCTCTTTCCACACTCTGAGTATTCCAAAGGTTTTTTTGCAGTGTGGGTTCTCTGATGTTCCTGAAGATGGCCACTCTGACTGAATCTCTTTCCACACACTGAGCATTCAAAAAGTTTCTCTCCTGTGTGGGTTCTCTGATGCCGTTTAAGATGGCCGCTCCAACTGAATTTCTTTCCACACTCTAAACATTCAAAAGGCTTCTCCCCTGTGTGGGTTCTCTGATGCTTTCGGAGTTGCCCCCTCTCACTAAATCTTTTCCCACACTCTGAGCATTCAAAAGGCTTCTCCCCTGTGTGGGTTCTCTGATGCTTTTGAAGTTGCCCCCTCTCACTGAATCTCTTTCTACACACTACACATTCAAATGTTTTCTCCCCTGTGTGGGTTCTCTGATGCTTTTGAAGTTTCCCCCTCTCACTGAATTTCTTTCCACACCCTGAACATTCAAAAGGTTTCTCCCCTGTGTGGGTTCTTTGGTGCTGTTGAAGAGTGACACTCCTATTGAATTTCTTTCCACACACTGAACATTCAAAAGGTTTCTCCCCTGTGTGGGTTCTCTGATGCTGTTGAAGACTGCCACTCCGACTAAATTTCTTTCCACACTCTGAGCATGCAAAAGATTTCTCTCCTGTGTGAGTTCTCTGATGCTGCTGAAGAGTGCCATTCTGACTGAATCTGTTTCCACACTCTGAGCATTCAAAAGGTTTATCCCCTGTGTGCGTTCTCTGATGCCGCTGAAGAGTAGAACTGTCAATGAATCTCTTTCCACACACTGAACATTCAAAAGGTTTCTCCCCTGTATGGGTTCTTTGGTGTAGTCGAAGATTCCCACTCCAACTAAATCTCTTTCCACAATCTGAGCATTCAAAAGGTTTCTCCCCTGTGTGGATTCTTTGGTGGAGTTGAAGAGTGCCACTCCGACTGAATCTCTTTCCACACTCTGGACATTCAAAAGGTTTCTCCCCTCTATGGGTTCCTTGATGTTGTTGAAGATTGTCACTCCGACTAAATCTCTTTCCACAAATTGAGCATTCAAAAGATTTCTCCCCTCTGTGTATTCTTAGATGCTTTTGAAGACTGCCACTCTGATTGAATTTCCTTCCACACTCTGAGCATTCGAAAGGTTTCTCCCCTGTGTGGGTTTTTTGATGCTGCTGAAGAGTGCCACTCTGACTGAATCTCTTTCCACACACTGAGCATTCAAAAGGTTTCTCCCCTGTGTTGGTTCTTTGATGCAGTTTAAGATGGCCACTCTCACTGAATTTCTTTCCACACTCTGAGTATTCAAAAGATTTCTCCCCTGTGTGGGTTCCTTGATGCTGTAGAAGATTCTCCCTCTCACTAAATCTATTTCTGTACTTGGAGCATTCAAAAGGTTTCTCCCCTGTATGGGTTCTTTGATGCACAGGGAGCTGTAACCTATTTCTGAAGTACTCTCCACATTGAACGGATTTACTTGCCTTCATCATCCTGTGCTTTAGAAAACGCACACTATGATATCTTCCATCTCTCTTCTCAACCATACGGCTACCTTTCTTTCTCTTAGGTCTGCCTCGATTCATGACATTTTCTTTTGAGTTTTCATTTTTAACTCTATCTGGCATTTGCTGATGAAGTTCCTCACCCTCCTCATTGCTCTGAACATCATCTGCTGGAATAAATAGAGCAATCTTGTTAGCACCTGGGAGGGCTGGTAAGGCCCAAAGGCATCTATGGGGCTGCATTAGGAAAGGATTGACAGCCCTTTTGCCCCATCAAGCCCGACTGATCTTAACCACCCCTCCATCTTTCTCCAGAATATCATAGAGTTGGAAGGGACCTCCAGAGTCCAGCCCCCTGCACAATGCAGAAATTCACAAATACCTCCCACATCCACAATGCCCGCTGTTCCACCCCTAGAAGATGACCAAAAACCTCCAGGATCCCTGGCCAAACCAGCCTGGAGAAAAATTGCTTCCTGACCAATGCTCCGTCTAAGCTGTACAGTCTTGTGAGCAAAAATTCTACTTTGTGAGCTACTGGCATTAAAATTGTGAGCGAGCAATTTGGCTCCTGCATATATTAGTTTGCTCTGCAACCATCCTTGTTGAGCTAAGACACAAATGTGTGAGCCAGAGGCAGAAAACTGTGAACTAGCTCACAGTAACTCAGCTTACAGGGAACATTGTTCCTGACCCCAAAGTGGCAATCAGCATTTCCCTGGGCATGTAAAAAAGGGCCACAAGAACTAAGCACTGATGCAATCCCTTCCTGCCCTCCCTCTCATGATCTGCCTAAGTCCACAGAATCCGCATTGCTGTCCGATGGCCACCTAGCCTCTGTTTGAAAACCTCCAAAGAAGGAGAGCCCACCACCTCCTGAGGAAGCCGGATCCACTGAGGCACCGCTGTGTCAGGAAATGTTCTGGTCCAACAGTCTGGGGCAACAAAAAACAACTCTGCCCCATCCTCTATATGACAGCCCTTCAGGTACTTGAAGATGGTGAGCTCATTAGCATAATTCATTAGCATATGCCACACCCCCTGACATCACCGGAAGTGTGTCAGAAGGCAACACCCACCGCTCAGGCTCCACTGGACTGTTTCGGATTGCTAGCTATTGGGGGGGAGGAACGTGCAGATCTGTCCTCACAGAGGAGGGAGAGCTTGTACCTGAATAAAACTTGGTCTTAAAGGTGCCACTGGACTGTTTTGGGCCGGGGGGCCGGGGGGAGCTCTGCAACTTGCTTGGATGCTTCTTGCTCTGACTGAGGGCTGCTGGAAGCAGGGGGTGGGGCTTGTTGCATGTGCCCGCCCCCAGGGCTCTTTACTGCTGGAGCTCCGCTCCTGTGTGCTCCTGCAGGAAATGACCCCTGCTCTTATCACCTCTCCAGGCTAAACATACCCAGCTCCTTCAACCTTTCCTCACAGGACTTGGTCTCCAGACTCCCCACCATCTTCGTTGGTGTCCTCTGGACACGTTCCAGCTTGTCCATATCCTTCCTGACCCCAAAGTGGTGATTAGCATTTCCCTGGGCATGTATGAAAGGGCCACAAGAATATTTAAGGATACCTGACCCCCTCAAGAGCCAATCCCCCAGAATCCCTTTTTTGGTCCTGGCCCCAACCTCCTCCGCCCCCATCCACAAAGTAGCCGGCAGTGGGAGTTGGAAGGAGGATCAGTTATTCACCATCTGTTTGTTTTTAATATTGTACTGAAGTTTTCATTAATTTTATCCTGTTTCATCTCTGGTTGTACATTGCCCAGAGCCCTGGGGGGGACCCCACCCCCCCGGGTGAGGTGCGGGAGGGCGGGGCCTGGAGCTCGCTGCTGGTGCCTGCGGGAGGTCGCCGCCGGATGTGGGGAGGACACACTTCCGGTGATGTCAGGGGGAGTGGCATATGCTAATGAGTTATGCTAATGAGTCCCCCTAGCTCTTTTTCTACGAAATGACCCCTGATAAATAATAATACATGGATAAATGATGATGCTGTTGAAGAGTGCTACTGTGACTGAATCTTTTTCCACACACTGAACATTCAAAAAGGTTTCTCCCCTGTGTGAGTTCTCTTATGCCGCTGAAGATGGCTACTTCGACGGAATGGAATAGAATGTTAAGAGTTGGAAGGGACCTCGCAGGTCATCGAGTCCAACCCCCTGCACTCTGCTGGAGCATAGCCAAAAGAGAGCCCTACAACATACCCGAAAGATGGTCGTCCAGCCTCCGCTTGGAAACGTCCAGCGAAGGAGCATCCACCACCTCCCGAGGCAGTCTGTTCCACGGCTCAACCACTCTGACAGTCAGGAAGTTTCTCCTGATATTTAGCTGGTATATGGACTCCCTTGTGATTCCCACCCATTCGATCTAGTCTTGCAATCCGGAGCAAGAGAGAATAGATCTGCTCCATCTTCCACATGACAGCCCTTCAGATATTTGAAGACTGTAATCATGTCCCCACTGACCCGGGGGGACCTGGGCTTTGGTTCTTGGCAGGATCACTTCCAGATCACAGGCAGAGCGGGTGTCTGGAATCCCCTTCAGGGGGAAGGGTGTCTTGTAAAGGCTGGCCATAGATAAATGAGGATCTGGCCCCTTCCAGAGTCTTTCTGAGGGCCTCTCATCCCTCCCTTTGCCTCAGGCCAGGACACCTTCTCCGGCTTGGGTGATGGCCACAACTCTGGCCTCTGTTGCCCCCGGGCACGTACACACACATGAACAAAACATGAAGCTGCCTTACACAGAATCAGACCTTTGGCCCATAGAAGTCAGTATTGTCTACTCCGTCCGGCAGCAGCTCTCCAGGGACTCAGGCAGAGGTCTTTCACATCGCCTCCTACCTGATTCTTTTCACTAGAGATGCTGCCAGGGTTTGAACCTGGGACCTTCTGCAGGCCAAGCAGATGCTCTGCCAGTGAGCCACAGCCCCTCCCCAAGTAGCGGGGCAGGCCTCCAAATGGTGTGTTGCTGTTCAATATTTTGATTCATGCCTCATCCCCATGGCAGCAATTTGTACCTTTGACACCTACGAAAGAATCCTTACCCAGAAAGGCCACATTCTCGTAGTTCTCCCGCATGACTTCCCTGTAGAGAGCTCTTTGTCCTGGATCCAGCAGGGCCCACTCTGCCTCAGTGAAATCAACAGACACCTCCTCAAAGAAAACGGGACACTGAAAGAAAAAGCAGATTCCCTCGTCAGAGATCAGGACAGGCAGAGATGGCACATGGGGAAGGGAGTAGTCTGGGAAGGTATCGGATGAAAGGCTTGGGATGGGTAAAGGGAGCGGCGTTCAGAGGATCTCTCGCCCGGACACCTTGGCTTTTTCTATTATTTATATATTTTTTAAATGTCCGCATACACATATTAAGTAACAATCAAAATACAACATTATCAAAAATTAAAACACAAAAAAATAACAACCTCCCGTATGAAATCTTATAGGATTATCGATTCAAGAATCTACAATTAGTGAAGCACAATAAATAACCAAGTAACAGTCAAGCCATGTTTCAGTTTCAAATAGGAACGATCATAGAAAAATCATATCCTGATGCCCTGAGTTCCTAGGTAAGATATCACGTTCAGCAAAAAAGCTGAATAAGGAATAATGTGACATTTGAGATTCCATTTTAAAGTTGTGCGTTATTTCCCCCATTATAAACTGACCCCAAATTTTCTCGTACCACTCTGACACCGGGGGGGGGGGGGTGTCTAAGCAATCTCCCTATTGAAGCTACAGCCAGCTGAGCAGAAGCCAATAATAAAGAAATTAGCTTCCAAGTGGAGTCTGAGCATTCTCTGTCCAGCCAATATTGTAAGAGAAATATTTCAGGAGTGATTGGTGAATCAATAGCAGTTATGTGTTTTATATGTTGGTGGACTTTATTCCAGAATGGATGAATTACCTTTTTTTTTTTTTAATAACACAATTTTATTATTTGGATATATTAGCAAACAACATTACATTTTGTATACTTTCATTTCCCGCCCCCATATATCCCTTTCATCCACTCCTTCCCCCCTTTTTCATGGCCTCCCGCAATGCTCCACCCTCTTGAATAATCCAGTATAAACTTTATAAACATTCTTCACTATTACAATTTCCAGAATGGATGAATTACCTGACAAGTCCACCAACAATGGAAATATCGCAGGGGTCATTTCCTTCAGGAGCGCACAGGAGCGGAGCTCCGGCAGTAAAGAGCCCAGGGGGCGGGCACATGCAACAAGCCCCGCCCCCTGCTCCCAGCAGCCCTGGGCCATGAGGCGCAAGAAGCAGCCAGGTAAGTTGCAGTGGGTGTTGCCTTCTGACACATTTCCGGTGATGTCAGGGGGTGTGGCATATGCAAATAAGTTATCCTAATGAGTTATGCTAATGAGCTCCTGCACCTCTTTTTCTACAAAATGACCCCTGGAAATGTGTCCCAGGTTCCAACACAGTTCCGGGTAGTTTTTATTTATACGGTGTAACCTCTGAGGGGTCAAGTGCCAGCAGGTCCTCAATTTGGCAAACTGAAAATGTACATTAAAAAAAATGGTGATCTATTATTGGGCGATGCCCAGATTTCTTGCCAAACTTTTATGTCAGTAGGTAATTGTATCATTTTATTCCATGTATTTTGATAACGTAGGATATTATCTGCTGTAGAAGTTTGTACTAACATTTTGTAAATTTTTGATAAAGTTCCTTTTTTTATTTTCTGAATATTTAAGTCTTACCAGGTCTAGATCATTTGAAGAGGTAGGTAACATTTTTTTTTAGATTTGGGTAAGAATAAGAAAGATGATAACTATAAGTATTGAAACCAAGGAATAGGCTTACTTAATTTCTCCTCCAGCTGTTTCTTTTCTAGGATCATTCCATTATTAAGGATATCACCAAGACAGAAAACACCAGCTGTAATCCAATCTTGGAACGTTGAGGTACATGTACCTGGTTTAAACCAGGATTGATACAGAAACATAGATGACCAAGAGTATTCAGGAAGGAG